GCTCATTCATTCAAACGCCGTGGACTGAGCACCTTCTCTGTCCAGATGCCTTTCCAGGAACTTACGACACATCGATGAGTTAAACGGACAGAGCGCCCTGCCCTCCTGGGGTTTGCGATTTCGGGGGAGAGATACCGAGACAAGGAAGTCCGCACAGTGTGTTGGACAGTGATCGGTGTTCAGAGAAAGTAAGCGGAAGAGAATCCATGAGAGCGAGCCCCGCGGCTGTCCAAGGCAGGGCGTTTCACACAGAGGAGCAGGCAGAGCACAGGCCCTGAAGCAGAAAGGCGCATGTGCAGGGGATGGGGAGGAGGCCTAGCGCAGCACGGCAGGGACACAGGAGCCTACAGGGAGGTCACAGAGGTGGCCAGGCACTGCGTGGGTCTGACCCACACGCAGGACTTCGGCTCTCCTGCTGAGCAGGATGGGAGCCCTGGAGCATACTACGCAGAGGAGAGAGGTGAACCGATTTAGTTCTTAAAGGACCACTCCCAACAACGACAGGCAAGGGTGCGAGCAGGGAGAGCAACGCAGAGGCTACTGGAACCCGGGTTTGCTGGTCCGGGAGGTCTTCTGAGGGCAGAACCAGCGGTGTGGCTGGCAGACAGGACGTGGGATGGGAGAGAAGGCAGTCGGGATGCCCACCAGATTTCTGGTTCCAGCAATGGAAATGTCATCGGTGTCTTTCCAGATCCGTCCTCGCCTGTGTGGCTCAGCTCAGCTTTCTGGCTTCCCTTTGTCACCGTCTCTATTCTCCCTGCAGCCCCAACCCAGGGGAACATTTTGCCCAGCCTGGCATCAAGACTCCCGATTGCAGCCAGCTTCCCACAAGGGACACTCCCACCAGGTGGGTGCCAGCCCTGCAAAAGGCCCACGTAGTGTCCAGCCCAGCAGCAAGTGCTCAGTGCTCCAAGCAGCAGATGCATTTAGGTGACCCTTGAGGTGAGAAGATAGCCACACAGAGACCAAAGCCAGCCCTGTCCTGCGGGAGGGCGCAGACTGGAAAGGCCGCAGCCAGGTCACAGTGCTAGGGCCATCAGGGCTTAAGCTCAGGAGATCATGGATCCCCCATGGCTGACCACGCTGTTTATCCTGGACCCTGACGCTTGGGAAACATGTCAGGTGCATGTTCACACCCAACATTCCGACAGGAGCGAGAGATGGAGAAGGGGTTACTGTTGACCATTCCCATGGAGGAGGGAGCTTCCTCACTTTTCCTGTCTCTGTCTCTCTCTGGTGAGTACATGAGTCCTCTAGCAAATTTCAAAAAGAGCAAGAGGCATCAGGTGGCATAGTAGCTAAGGTGCTAAACTCTCACATGACCAACTGCTGCTGTTTGAGTCCCAGACCCAGTGGCTTGAAATACACCAGGCACATGTGCACATGTGCCTATAATCCGGAACGGAGAATGGAGGAGACAGGTTTCCAGCATGGCCACACCCACAGGGGGCGGTGATTTCTTTTCTTTTTTGGAGAGGTTTTTGCTATAGGGCGCGTGCACTCACCAGACAGACAGAGAGAGACAGAGAGATAGAAAGCGAGAAATCACCCCCAGAAGGGATGGCCATGCCGCAATCCCTTCTCCTCCATTCTCCTCTCAGGATCTTGGGCATGCATGCACATGTGCCCGGCGTGAGTTTAAGCCACTGGGTCCGGGGCTTGAACCGTGGTCGACTATGTGGGAGTCCAGCGACATAGCCATTACGCTAACTGCTGGTCCCTAGGGGGCGGTGATTTCTCATTCTCTGTCTCTAGGATGAGCACATGTGCCCTATAGCAAAAATCTCTAAAAAAATTTAAAAAAAAAAAGGAAGAGGACCAAGGATTCCCTCTGCTGCCCTAGGGCAAGGAAGGCTTCCCAGGAGAAAAGGCATTTGAACTGGGCACAGAAGGATGGCCAAAGTCAGTAAGAGCAACTGGAGTCCTTTAGATCAAAGAGGGGACCCGGGAAGGCCATGCGTAGTGTGTTGGATGGCGAGAGGTGTTCAGGGAACAGTTCAGTGGGAAGAGAATGGGTGAGAGTGAGCCAACAGCTGCACCACCTCTACAAATTCCTTGCACCCAACTCCTAGCTCCCTCACTTAAGGGCTGGGTGACCTTGGGCAAGTTTATCAGTCTCTGAGCTTCAGTTTCTCCTCAGTAAGACAGGAACACTTGGGTTGCCAGGGACAGAAAATCCAACTCAAAACTATCTCATGCAATACCGGGCGTTCATTGATTCATGACATGGAAGGTTTCAGAAGTGGGCCTGCCTTCAGGAAAGATCCATCAGCTGAAAAAGGATTCCGAGGACCCAGATTTTCCATCCTTCTACTCGGCTTTCCTCAAGGCTCAGCTTCCCTGAGGCTGACTCCCCTCTGAGCCCACAAGTAATACCCCAGTTCTTGTGTCTAAGACCTTGCTAGTTCCTCTATTAAAAAAGCTTTGTCCCGGCCAAGGTCACGTGCCCATCCCTGAGCCAGTCACTGCACACGTGTGCTGATTGGCGTGGCCCAGGTCCCTGTCTCCACCTCTGGCACCAGGGCCTAGTCTTGCCTTCCTAGTGCTTTTCAAACTGTCCCTCCTGAGAGCAGGGGGTGCTGGCAGGGGGGAGGGAAGAGATGCCCACCAAGGGTCGCAGTACCCATTGGGCTGGGTCATTGTCGGGCTTAGAGAGAATATATAGAAAGTACCTGGCAGTAGGTACTCCTTGAAAAGCAGTGTTAAGGAATCTGCATTTCATTCTCCAAAGTGGTTGTACTAATTTGCATTCCCGCCAACCATAGAGGAGAGTTCCCTTTCCACCACAGCCTCAACAGCACTGATCATTATTTATTTATGTTTTCATTTTAGCCATCCTTACTGATCGTTATTTATTTATGTTTTCATTTTAGCCATCCTGACTGGGTTAAATGGCATCTCATTGTAGTTTTGATTTGCATTTCCCTTATGATAAGAGATGTTGAGCACATTTTCATATGCTTTGGGGCCGTTCGTATGTCTTCTTCGGAGAATTGTCTGTTCAGCTCATTTTCTCATTTTTTAATCGGATTGATTTTTTTTTTTTTTGTAGGTAAGCTGCTTGAGTTCCCTGTATACTCTGGTTTTCAGTCCCTTATCTGAGGTATAATTTGCAAATATGTTCTCTCACTCTGAGGGTCATCTTCTCATCCTATTTATTGTTTCTTTGACCAGGCAGAAGCTTCTCAGCCTAATACAGTCCCATTTGTCTATTTTTGGGACTATTCTTAGAAAACTACAAATAGAACTACCATATGACCCAGTAACTCGGTTTTTAGGTAGTTACCCAAAGGGTAGAAAAGCCCTCAGTCAGAGAAACACTTGCATGTCCATGTTTATTGCAGCACTATTTACAATTGCTAGGACATGGGATCAACCCAAATGTCCAAAAATAGATGACTGGATTGGAAAAAATGTGGCCTCTGTACTCTATGGAATACTACTCAGCCATGAAAAGAGAGACCCTGACATTTTCTGTAAAGTGGTTGACCATGGAAGACGTAATGCCAAGGGAAACAAGTCAAACTATGAAAGACAGACTGTATGTCCCCACTCAGTCTATACCGATGATCTGTGCTCTAGGGCAGAAACTGAGAGTTTGGAAGGTGTTGTAGCAGGGAAGGCAACAGTAGATACTAGAGACTGTAAAGATGGGGTGATACAGGGGTGGGCAGGAGAGGGAGGGGAACAGGAGAACAAAAAGAAAAAAAGGGGGGGCTGGCAAGTGGTGTGGTGGTTTAGGGTGCTGAACTCCCACATGGCCTACCATGGTTCAAGTCCCAGACCTGGCAGCTTGCTCTCTCACTTTCTCTCTCTCTCTCTCTGTCTCAATCTGGTCAAAATAAAATAAATAAATAAAGTTAGAAAGAAGAAGAAGAAAAAAAAAGTATGTTTAATTGACAAAAAAATTAAAAGCTATTTAGTGATGATGTAGATAATAATGTCTTTGTCTTGACTGATAGACATGGTAATCGTGCTGGAAAAAGAAATATTACACACTGTAAAGATATATGTGATTAAATGTAATATTTTAAAAAAAGAAAAGCAATAAAAAATTATTGCTAGATGGTACATGTCAGAAAGAGACAGGGACAGTAGAGGGACAGGGAGAGCAGAGAACACCCCAGTGGGGCATGGTCCTGTTGTAATACCTTCTCCTCCTTTTCTCCAACCTGTTGGGACTTGGAGCACACACACACACATGCACCTGGCATATTTTTTCCAAGCCACCAGAGCCAGGATTCAAACTCTGGTTGGCCATGTAGGATCTAGCTCCCTTAACCACTAGACTCTGAGGCTGGTCCTGCAATTACTCCTTTTATTACATATAAAAGACCATGGTGAGAAAGAGGAATTTGACTTAATTCATGGTCCCAAAGAGTGAAATTTGAGTCCATAAATAGAATCCCCCGGAAGATGGAATTTTACTCCATTTAAAAAAAATTTTTTTTTGGAGAGATTTTCACTGTAGGGCGCGTGCGCTCGCCAGACAGACAGAGAGAGACATAGAGACAGAAAGCGAGAAATCACCCCCCGGGGGGATGGTCACGCCGCAATCCCTTCTCCTCCATTCTCCTCTCGGGATCTTGGGCACGCACGCACACGCGCCCGGCGTGAGTTTAAGCCACTGGGTCTGGGACTTGAACCACGGTCGACTACGTGGGAGTCCAGCGACATAGCCATTACGCTAACTGCTGGTTCCCCATTTAAAATTTTTGAAATGAGTTGTCCTCACTGAGTCCCTGTCCTTGGAGGAGGACAAGACATGAACCCAGCCATCAGTGTGACTACACAAGGGTAGGGAGCAGATCCCCTGAGGTCAGTGGGTCCCAGGACCCTCCTCTCCAGTGGCGGTCCACAGGCAGAACCAAGAACTGAAGTGATTATCTTGTTTAAGCACACACGCACACACACACACGTGCGCACACACACCCACCCCAGGTGTCAGGAGCTTGCAGGAAAGGGGAATTAAGAGCCTACAACTCCCTGAACCTCTGATGATCTGGTCCTGAGAGCAAAGGGACAGCACAGCCACAGCCAAGAGCAGACCATGCCAAGTTGTTCCCCGAAACTCGGGGAGAGGCTGGGCTTTGCGAGCAAAGAGCGAAGAGCAGGGGTGTTATAGAACGTCCCCGACTCCTGGGGTCTCCTCCGGCATCCCATTAGGCCAGGCCTACGTGGAGAGATGTGGGAAGAGGACCGAGTCCAGAGAGCCTGGTCCCAGAGGTGAGGGAGGGCCAGGAGCGGGGCAAGCCAGTATGTACACAAGACACGGGCGCTGCACTGACCGCCACTGCCCCAGGGGAGACGGGCCCAGACACCCGGCTGAGCCCCTGCCGAGCCCAGCTGTCCCTCCAAGCTGAGTTCTCACAACTCCCACTGTCCACCATGTGCTGCTCCTGGAACTGCTTTGGGTCTTCTCCAGACCCCTGCCTTCTCCTCTCCTCCCTCCCCTATCTCCTAACCCCCAAACGCCCCACCTTCCCATACACCTTGCCCTACAAGGCCCTTCCCAAAACCCTGATTCTGTTCTTTCTCGGGGACCTCCGAAAGCAGGAAGGGAGCCCATCGATGTCACACGCGTGAGATTTGTTCACAAGCATCTCTCAGCACCCGCAACACCCAGCCATCACTCAGAGGTTAACACAGAAGCCTGGGTTCGAGCTCTTCGGGAACCAGGGAGGACCCCAGAGCAGCATGGCTGGTGCTCACAAGCCTCAGCAGGCCTCAGCCTCCCACAGGAACCCAGCCTGGACCTCATCAGCTCAGTGTCCCTTGGCCTGGAATGGCCGGCCGTGAGCGTGAACCTGCAGGTGCCCACTGTGGCCACCAGAGGGCGGCTGTAGGCCAGTAATCCAACTTTGTCCGTGGAGACAGGTCACCTTGGGTCATGTTTTCTAGAAGCTCCAGGCAGCACCTGGCAAGTAAAACCGTTAACAGGACAGGAATAGGAGTGGCGTTTGGGGGCGGCTGTCACTAAGTGGGTCAAAACGGCCAGGATGCAAAAACCCTCGGAGAACAGCAAAGTCGGTGCGAGAGTGGGGTGGTAACCCTCAGAGACGACTCCCCAATCCTGCAGTTGAAGCAGAGCTCTGGCCTCGAGAGCTAAGGCGAGGCCCTCTTCCGGAGGCCACGCTAGTCCTTCCTCATGGTGTAGCCCTGGATCGTGCTGTTGAAGTAGGCCGGCGTGTTGCGCTCCGGGTAGAAGAGGATCAGGTAGCACTTGGAGCCGAAGTAGCCCATGCTGAGGGCCAGCAGGTTGACCACGGTGACAGAGAGGTCCATGATGGTGACCAGCACCCCGTCGTAGAAGGACATGAAGGTGCAGAGGGAGACGGACGAGGTGAAGTAGACGGTCATGCTGAGGGTGATGAACTTGGCCTCGTTGTAGTTGGTGGGCAGCTCCTTGCCCACGTAGGCGAAGCTGAAGCCGGCCACGGAGAGGCACAGGTCCAGGCTGGTGTTCAAGAGCAGCGCCTTGACGTAGTTGGGGTTGCAGGAGAGAATCAAGTTCTTGGGGTCGTCAGGGTCGACGCGGGCGATGGGGCTAGCGGTGGTGGCCAGCACGTTGGTCGCCACGAGGATGACCACTTTGAGGGCCACGAAGAAGGCCACAAAGACGTAGGGCCCGTGGTAGCGCAGCCAGTAGCCGTAGGCCCGCGGGAGGCGGCTGGCCATCTTGAAGATGCAGACGATCTGGAAGGAGCGCACCGTGATGCAGGAGATGCAGATGGTGAAACAGAGCGTGAAGAGGGCCTGGCGGCAGAGACACGTGGACACCGTGGGCGGCCCCACGTACACGGGCACCATCGAGTATGCCACCAGCAGGGACGCCAGCATGAGGAAGCACATAGGGCCCCCGGCAGAGCGGACGATGGGTGTCTGGAAGTGTCTCCAGAATATCGCCAGGGTGGCCAGCGTGCTGAGGAAGCCCAGGGAAGCCAGCAGGACCACGATGATGGTGGGAGCCTCGTGCCACTCGAGGAAGGTCTGCCGCCGCTTGAAGCAGGACGTCTCGCTCCGGTGGGACCACTCCAAAGTTGGGCAAGTCTGGCATTCAAATTCATCTGCAAACACCCAGAGCAACTCCCGTCAGCATGAGCATATGCCCTCGAAGGGCCAGCAGCAGGCCCCAGGGTGGAGAGCTAAGAGCCACCCCTCCCGCCCTCATAGCCACCCGCTCGGTCTCGCACACGTGAGCTCGTCCCATCTGCACAGCAGCCCCTTTTACACATGGAGGAAGTCACAAAGCCAGTGACAGAGGCGGGATTTGAACCCAGGTCTCCTTGATTCAGAGCCTGCCGGTGACAAAAATTCCTCACTTTAAGGCATCATCCTCTGGGTCAGAAGATAGTATAGCGGTTACATCACTGAACTCCCACATGGCCGACTGCAGTTTGAGTCCTGGACCTGGTGGCTTGAAAATCATGCCGGGCCCATGTGCATGTGTGCCCAAGATCACAGAAGGAGAATGAAGGAGAAGGGAGGTGGTGTGGCCTTGTCCCCTGGGGGATGATTTTTCACTTTGCTCACTGTCTGTCTCTCTCCCCTTCCCCCTACCCCAGTGCACATGCTCTAAGGCAAAAACCTCTGGAGAGACAGCTGCCTAACCACTAATTCCAGGGGTCCATTCGGCAAATGCACGTCTGAGCACCACCCACTGCGATAGGCACCTGCAGGAGAGGGCTGCAGGGGAGGGGTAGAGCCCAGCCCCAGACTTCAGGGTTCTGATGAGCCAGGACTGGGAGGCCGGAGAAGTAGGCCAACAGACCGTGACTCAGCACCGCTCTCTTAGGCACGCAGGAAGTGCCTGTATTGGCGGGGGCATGCGTGTCGTCTTCTCATCAGTGACGTTACGGAAGTGTGGAGTCCCAGCCTGCACTGTGTTAAACGCGACCGTGGACGTGGAATGTCTCTGTCCCCACCTTCCTAGAGCGTGTGCTCTGTGAGGAGGGTTGTTCATTCTCATGAAGGAAGTCATTTGTAAAAAAGAAAACCATTCAACAAACACTCTCTGAGCAACCACCATGCACCAGACTACCCTGGATATCAGAGGCCTGGGGTGAATCGGCCTGTCCTTGTCTGCCAGAGCTTGCTTTCTCATGACAGTGCCACCCTCCCACCCTCCCACTCGCTCTGACCCCCGGGGCCCCAGGCAGGTGCATTTAGAGTGGGGGTCGGTTCCAGTCCTGCCTCCCTCCGTCCTCCAGCCAGCCTATACCCAGGCCTCTGCTCTACACCAGGTGCTGGGGGGACACAGGAGGGGCCAGATAGCCCCTGGCCTTTGGCTACTCTCGGCCCTGAAGGATACCCCAAAGCCTCCCCACCAGGAAGTAGCCCCGCAGTCCCAGGCGCAGGTGCGGTGCTGGGCCCGGAGCTGTACCTGCCGTCTGGTTGAGGAAGGTGCCAGGCTCGCAGTCGATGCAATCGAAGCAGCAGGGGTGAAGGCCCATGGACTTCTTCCTCTGCCCAGGCCGGCAGCTCTTGGAACACCTGGAAACGGGGACCTGGAAGGGGGGCGAGAGACCGTCTTTCCCACTCTTCCCACACTCTGGGGGCCCCTCTGCTTTCCCAGCTGGCGGGGGAGGAAAGCCTGGCGGCCGGCTGGGATGGGGGCGGTGCCGAGCCGCCTTCCAATCTGGAACTCCGTAGGGGCCCTCTTAGCTTTGCCCACCCAAGACTTAACCTGTCTTCCTCTGGTGAGGCACCTGACTTCTGCGCAGGGACTCTGAGGCGGCTGAGAGGACAGGCTGTAACCCTGGGACTGCTGGCCACCACGGTCACAAAGGGGACCCGATGCCAAGAAGGATCTGAGTGAGGAGAGAGCGAAACCCTGGTCCGTCCTTGCCTGCAGCCTCATGGTCTCCCCTAGGTTTTAAATGATGTGAACCTGCAAATTAAATCTGCTTACATCATTTTCTGTCACTTGCAGCCAGGCCTCCTAGTAAACACGGCCTGTAGGTAGGGGCAGGGTTTTCGGGTGCCAGAGAGCAGACAGCAGTGACCAGGCTTGCTGTTTTCCCAGCCCGACTTCCAGGACCTAGACAAGTACCCAGCACAGAGGAGGCCCCCAGTCATCGTGGATGGATAGAAGGATGAACCAGATGTAGAGAAAACAGTGCAGCAATGGGGTGTAGGGGCGGAGGGCGGCATGGACGGCAGGGCAGAGCCTCCAGGCCTGGCTGGACTTGGATGCACAGGGTGAGCGTGGGAGAAGGGCGAGCGCACATTCCAAGGGTTTGTCTGGATTGTATAAAAATATCCTGACAACCAATCAGGAGAGTGTGACAAGAGCACCAGTAACAGGGGTCAGGGCCGGGAGTCACGGCAGCACCCCTCAACTCCAGAGCCCCTCTCCCCTTTATCTAAGGACCTCTGCCTTCAGGTTTTGCTCTCAGCCTTGTTCCTCTCCCAGAAATTTCTTTGTGGAAGAAGCTCGGTGACTCTCCATCGGCCCCCTGCCAGGCGTTCTAGGCCCTCCGTGGTCTTCTCTGCCTTCATAGGACCACGTACCTTGCAGGCATGCACACACCCAGGCAGGCCCCCTTAGCCAGGACCACACCCCACTCCCCAACTCCCTTTGCCAGGTAGCCTTCCCCCCTTGCAGACTCATCTCTTCACTATCTCCTGAAAAAAAACAAAAATTAACCGTACCTCATGTCCCTGGGATTTAATCCTGCTACTCATTCATTCTTTCATTCATTCATTCGACGCCCGGCCCGGGAAGACAGCAGTGACCTGTACAAGCACTGGACTAATGCTGCTCCAATGGAATTCGCACCCTCATGGGGCAAGAGGAACAATACACAGGTAAATACGTAATGTGACAGATGGTGGCAAATACTATGAAGAAAAATCAAACAGCGCAAGGGAGATGGAGAACGTTGGAGAACAGACTGGAATTTCAAAGTGGGGCCAAGGAAGGCCTGGCTGAGCCGGTCACCTGGGCACAGAGGCTTAACAAAGGAGCACATCGAGTAGACACTGCTCCGGGCAAACGGACCAGCAGGTGCCAGGGCCTCCGGTGGCTGAGACAGCATACTGAGGCCGGTGTGGCTTGGGTGGGGCCAGCAGGACGGTGACCGCTGACCAGGCAAAAAAGGTGCAGTCGAATGCTCTGACCTCCGCTCTGAGACGAACAGCTGCTGGAGGACCCCGAGCAGGGGGTGGCAGGATCTGGCTGCTCCTGCAGAGTCACCTTGCCTTCTGTGGGGGCCAAGGACGGAGGGAAGAGCCCAGGTACGATATTTGAGATCGTCCAGGGAGTAAGCGAAGGGGGTCCTGACCATGAGGTGACAGTGGAGGAGTGAGTTAAGTGAGTTAAGTCTCTGCTGCGTTTGTCTTTCTGATTTTTACTTTTCCCCCTGCCCGCTTAGGATAAGCCAATCAGCAGCCATCTATATTTGAGTTCTGGGCAGCCCCACTCACATGGCATGCTAGCACACCACACTGTTTTCGTTTTTTGACCAGCATTTTTTTTCTTTTTTTTTCTCTTTTTTTTTTCTATTTCTATTTATTTGTTTGTTTATTTATTTATTTTCTATTTATTTCTATCTCTATTTCTTTTTCTTTTCTTTTTACCTTTCTCACTTCTGCTTAGCCTCCATGCACGGTTTCTCTAGACAGGTCTAGGTGCTCAGTAGCCAAATACCTGAATACTTTTAGGGTCAGATTAATCCTCAATTTCCACTGAATCTGCTGTGCAAAGGGAGAAAAATGGCACTGTTTACAGGCTGCAGGTCACCTCCTTCTGCATGCCTCTGATTGCTCAGACTTAACTCCAAAAACTAGGGTAAAATGTATAATCCATCTGATGGCCAGAAACTACTGCAGAGGCACAAGAAATAGGAGAAATCAAGAAAATGTCTCTCCTCTAATGGAAAAGAACAACTCTTCCTCCACAAAGAATACAAGGGCACTCATGGAAATGTCAGATAAAGAATGTAAAATATTCACAGTGACAAAGCTTACAGAGGTGCAAAAGAATAGAGACAACAAACTCCAGAAGATGCAGGCGAAAAGAGACACAGAGTTCCAGGAGGTGAGGAGGTTCTTGCACGATTTGAAAGAGGAGATTCACATCATAAAAAAAGAATCAAATGAAATTGTTAGAGATGAAGGCTGTAATACAGGAAATCAAAACCTCCCTCGGGACCAGCAGATGGCATAATAGCTATGTTGCTGGAATCCCATGTAGTTGACCGTGGTTTGAGTCCCGGACCCAGTGCCCAAGATCCCAAGAGGAGAATGGAGAAGAAGGGATTGCGGCATGGCCATCCCCCCTGGTGGGTAATTTTTTGCTTTCTGGCTCTCTGTCTTTCTGGTGAGCGCATGCGCCCTATAGCAACAACCTCTCCAAAAATATTTTTTATAAAAACCTCCCTTAGAAGTATTAAAAGCAAATTAGATCACGCAGAAGATCGAATCTCAGATGTAGAATATAGGCCCTCTGAGCTAGAGAAATTCACCAAAAGACAGAAAATAACCTAAAAAAAAAAAAAACATGAGAATAATGTATGAGTAATACTAGATACCATTAAATGCCCAAACATCCAGATCATCGGTATCCCAGAAGATGGAGAAACTAATAAGGGCGTTGATCATCTATTCCATGAAATCCTGGAAGAAAACTTTCCAAACCTAGAAAGGCACTCATATACCTAGTCCCAAGAAACACAAAGGACCCTGCATAGAATCAACCCAAGAAGATCTTTCCCAAAGCACATCATAACCACATTGACCAAAACCACAGACAGAGACAAGATACTAAAATTGGCAAGAGAGAAACATCAAGTTACTTTCAAAGGATATGCCATAAGACTAACGTCGGACCTCTCATTGGAAGCAATGCAAGCAAGGACAGAATGGGAAAATATATCCAAAGTGTTAAGTGAAAAACAATTTTCAACCAAGAATAGTATATCCAGCAAGATTACCTTTCGTATGGGAAAACATGACAAGAACATTCTCAGATAAACAAAACCTGAAAGAATTTATCAACACCAGACCAGCTCTCTAAGAAGTGCTGAAGGGAACGTTATACCAGGGAAACTAACGTCGGACACACAGAAATAAGCATACAAGAAACAACCAAGAAAATGGCCGGCCTAATGGCAGGGACAAGTCCGGAGTTGAATGTTTACTTCCGGAGTTTAAATGGAAAGACCAGACCACAGTAACATGGCAAATTCAGTAGAAGAGAGATTAATTATGTGAGTCTGAACTAGAGAAGTAGAATTTTTTGATTTTAGACTAAAGCATTACTGATTTTTTTCGTTCCTTTGATTTCCATATTTAAGGATTTTTGTCTTCTCCTGAACTGTTGGTAGGTTCATCCACCTGCTATTTGAACTGAATTCTAACCTTTTTGCTGGATTTAATTTTTAAGCAACTTTCTCTTAACATTTTTTAATTTTTTTTATAAGAATTCAATTTTTTAAAGATTTATTTTTAATTATGTTTATTATAATTCTTCTTCAATTTTGACCAGAGAGAGACAGGCAGAGAGAAAGGGAGAGTGAGAAAGCAAGCCACCAGGTCCAGGACTTGAACCATGGTCGGCCATGTGGGAGTCCAGCACCTCAACCACCGCACCACATGCCGACCCCAACATTTTTTGATTCTGATCTATTAAAACTAAAACTTTTTCTGAAATTAAAAAATACCTATTAATACCTATTTAATGATTGCAGTAAGCTATGTAGCCCCAGCGAGGTGCTACTTTATAGTATGTTCACTTCATTCACTGAGGTTTATGCCTAAAGTCAGACACGCATTCATAAATATGTACATATCAGCTGTGCTTGCTGTCGAGAGTCTTTAAATTAATTAAGATATTTAGTGAATCAATAAAATGTGGGGGAATCAATAAAATGTGGGGGGGCAAAGGCATGGAAAACAACTGTACATACCAGAGATAGTGTGAGAGAAGGGGGGAAACTGGCAGAGGGTGAGAGGTAGGGAATCAAGGGGGGAAAAGCAAAATATTTAAGAAAGAAGAAATAGGAAATTATTTGTTGATGATAACATGTACGTAATGTCCTAGATTGAGCCAATATACAATACATACTGAATGGCAAATCTCATTTTGTAGACCGTATTGATGTACAGTGAATGGCCGCAAATAAAGTGTAAAAAAAATACATAAGTAAGTAAAAATAAAAATATATCCATATGACAAGCAGGTGGTGTAGTGGTTAAGGCACTTGACTCCCACATGACTGACCATAGTTCAAGTCCCAGACCTGGCAGCTTGCTTTCTTACTTTCTCTCTCCCTCTCTCTCTCTCTCCCTCATCAAATTAAATAGTAATAATAAATACTAGTAAATAAAATTAATTTTTTTTAATAAGAATCCAGAACATTTCTGTTCTCCTTAATAAAAACCTACTTTCAATGAAAATTATTTCACCAGAAACCACCTGATGCAGGTTTTGCCACAGCTCACCTGACGTGGGGGAAGGAAAGTTTCTAACACCAACCCCCTCTAGCCTTCCTGCCTTGCCTAA